AGGGGGCGGGGCTTCTCTCGCGGCCTGTCGGCGCGTGCTGGCCCCGCCCCGCCCCGCGGCGCAGGGAGGGGGGGTGCTGTCATGGCGGAGGGTGTGAGAGGGCTGGCCCATCAAAAGCAGCCCGGAAAGCCAACCGCAGCCTGGGCTGCATCAAAAGCAGCGTGGGCAGCAGGTTAAGGGAGGTGATTCTGCCCCTCTGCTCTGGTGAGGCCCCACCTATAGTGCTGTGTCCAGCCCTGGAGTCCTCAGCAGAAGGATATGGGCCTGTTGGAGCAGGCCCAGCAGAGGGCCACGAAGATGATCAGAGGGATGGAGCACCTCTCCTATGAAGACAGGCTGAGAGAGCTGGGATTGTTCAGCCTGGAGAAGAGAAGGCTCCGGGGAGACATTATAGCGGCCTTTCAATATCTGAAGGGTGCCTATAGAAGAGCTGGGGAGGGACTCTTTGCCAGGAAGGGTAATGATAGGACAAGGGGAAATGGTTTTAAATTGGAAGAAAAAAGATTCAGATTAGATCTCAGGAAGAAATTTTTTACTATGAGGGTGGTGAGACACTGGAACAGGTTGCCCAGGGAAGTTGTGGATGCCCCATCCCTGGAAGTGTTCAAGGCCAGGCTGGATGGGGCCTTGAGCAACCTGCTGTAGTGGGAGGTGTCCCTGCCCATGGCAGGGGGGTTGGAACTAGATGATCTTTGAGGTCCCTTCCAACCCGAACCATTCTATTATTCTATGATTCTATATGGGCCTGTTGGAGCAGGCCCAGCAGAGGGCCACGAAGATCATCAGAGGGCTGGAGCACCTCTGCTGTGGGGACAGGCTGAGAGAGTCGGGGTTGTTCAGCCTGGAGAAGAGAAGGCCCCAAGGGAGCTTTATAGCAGTCTTCCAGTACCTACAGTACCTTCCAACCCACACCATTCTGTGATCAAAGTAGTGGCAGGGGTTCTTCCCGCAGGTAGAATTCGCAGATACGCAGCTTTCCTTGCAAACATATGGGTTCCGGGATTATGACTATTTTTTTTTTTAGATTTTTTTTGTTATGATATATTTTGTGGCTTATGTTTCAGCTGAAATTGGCTGAAATCGTAAGAGAGCTCAAGTAACATTCAGTAATTAAAAGGGAAGAAAGGGAGCACGTGCAGAGTGCGTGTCGAATATGAAGGGAAAAGCAAGTTTCAGCAGAAGCAAATGTGCAGCTCTTGTCATGCAAAAATGCACATGGTTGTTCCTTGGCACACAGGAGTTTCACATGCTAAAACCCAACACAAATCCCGAGGCTTGAGTTACCCTTACAGATGTGAAGACAAAGTTCTAGTGATCGTAACTGGTGATGTTTTTGGTCATTGCTTTGGCTAGTTTTTGTCTGTGCTGCTCACCTGAATTCCTTCCTGATTCCTGGCAATTTGGAGCACTCGTCAAGGTGCCAGGTTGCCCAGCCTAGCCCCTAAATTTCTGTTCCTGTGCGGTGCACCTGCACTGCGTTTTATTGTGGTTTGTTCTTTTGTGTTTGCAGATACAGGTAGGGAAATGCAAGAAGTGATTTGCCTTAAAAAAATCACATTGCCTCTGTCAGCAAATTTCTCTCTCATAATACTTTTATGATACAGGTGTCACAGCTGTTTCATCATTAATGATATTAAAGTGATTTAGCTGTAGATTAAGAAATGGAACTCCTCCTTTTTCTAAGTCAAAATTATTAAATAAGCAGAATGCAAGCAAAAGCATGGCTTTGTGGAGTGTTTCTTTTGGGAGAAAAAACTAATGATGCTACCAGGTATTTTTAACGAAGTCCTGTTTATTTATAAACAACATTAAAGGTTTTTTTTTTTTTCTTTGAACTATAAAGAATCAAACAATAAGAAATAATTTATTTGCTTGTGGCCTAGGGTTTGATGGTTCCTCGTAGGAATTTAAAATGGTGCGGTTGTATGACACAAGGCTGTGATGATTGCAGCTCTCCTTCATAGGGTATTTGGACCGCCATTTTTCTTTTTTTATTTTTTATTTGGACATTTGCCAGACGTGAATGTCTCTCTGCATGCTTCAGACCACTTTAACACTGCAGAGCCCATCGGTTTAAGTCATCCATTTTAAAAGACCTCATGGCGTGACAGTGAGAGCTAGTACCTGGCTCCAACCGAAAACCGTGTGTGCCCTGGGACTGCTCTTCTCAGGTGTTCTCTGCTGCAGCCATGGCCTCAGCAGATCGACCAGTCTTTTCCACAGTCCATACAGAAACCCCCCGTGCTCAGCATCATTATGGGGAACTGGAGGAGCGTTGACCTTTCTGTGTGCAAATGCTTGCCATGATGACAATAAAGTATATCTCAAGTGATCTCTTTGGGGCTGTAGTACAGGAGAGAAATGCACCCTCCTGTAGAGCTGCCAGAGGATACGTGTGTGAGTATCCCACTGATGGCCTTTCTTGCAGGAGAAAAACTGCTGTTGTCTCCTTCTTGTCCACCACTGCAGGCTGTGTGGGATGAGAACCCTGTGAACAACAGGAGTCATTTCACAGTGCCATGCCTGATGTCAGCTTTTCAACCCCCAAGCGACAGGTATCGGGTGGTGCCGGCTTCCAGATGAAGGCAGCCACCCTCCCCATAGTCACGCTTTGGTGCAGCACAGCTGAGGATGTATGTGGAGCAAGTACAGCAAAGGGGTAGTAACAAACAGCTCAGACCATAAGTTTGTTTTGCTGCAAAACATAACTTGGGGAACTCCACCTTCAGTTGCTTGTTAGGGATTTTAGGGTGGCTGATGATCGCACAGCTCTCGGCAGTACTGCAGTTTGTAGTGCACGGGCAGAACCTACTTGGTGCTGCTTCTACTCCTTTCTGAGGCAGCTTCTCCTGGCTGCATCCTACAGTCCTTCTACAGAGTTCCTTTGGAAACCTCGTCTCTTCTCATGATTCACTTTCCTCCCTCATAAAGGTGTATCTCCAGTTTGAGAGTTGTTGCTGTATGTAACACAGCTTTCCTCCCAGTGGTTTTACACATCTGCCAAGACAAAGCATTGTGGTATTGCATTGATTTATATTTTGTGCAAAAATATTCCAGTGAGGTCAGAAGCTGTGTCTGTAGTTCAGCTCTGGTTCAAGGGATGGTGAGGCAAACTTTTACAGTTTCAGGTGTGAAAAATCTCAGCTCTTTCACCTTCCCTCCAGGAACACCCTGTGTTGGGATGAGAGTTTGGTTCTGCATTCGTAGAAGGTGAACTTAATCATAATACAGAGGGCTGGAAAGCCTCTTCAAAGACCTCATCGTTGATGGCACTCTCATAAGCAGGTGGTGGAGTGAGTGGCTCCAGTGGCTCAAACCGGTCTTCAATCCCTTTCACTTCATGGATGTCCGAAACAAACCGCTGCAGTCTTGGAGGCAGCACCAGCTGCAACTGCATCCTGGAGCCCGTGTCTGTCTCACAGATGTGCCTCGTGTCTGACACCACCGACACCCTGAGAGCATCCACCATAATCTCTTCTTGGGCAGATGATTCAATGGCTACATTGTAAGGAGGCGGCTCGGTCAGGGGTGAGGGCACCAAGCCTGGATTGGATGCAATCGTCCATATTGCTGGAACTGACGTGGTCATGACCTCCTCATAGGTGGGCGCTTCGTAGGCAGCGTTCACCCTACACACAAAGAGAGGAATGGCAGTTACACGTGTTAATTTACAGCTTAGTTTATGCAGAGGCAGGTAGTCTGGATAATGTACTATAGGCTACAGCCAGTAGATGTGTCTGAGAGAGGTTCTCTCACATGGTATTACTGTATGTGATATTCTGCCACTGGATTGGCTCACTTGACTTAATTTCTTGCTTGCTGGTCTGGAAAATGGCTCATTTGACCATTTTCCCACACTCCCCAGAATATGCAAAAAAAAAACCCAAACCACACTGGGTTGTAGGCTTAGCTTTGATCATAGAATATCTCAAGTTGCAAGGGACCCGTAAGGATGATGTCTCTCATTTAAAATCTCCTACCAGTTAAGATGTTTTAATTACTAAGGATTGGTTTATTTTTTTTATTACTTTTTTTTTTTTACTTTAATTACTAAGAATTACAATCTACTAATTATTTCTCAGAATAAAACAGGACCTTGCTTTTTTAATACATTGGGTCAGTTTTCATCTATTTTTAAGAAGTGTGGAAAATTAAATGTTTTCATTTAGTTTAAACAAGGACTAAATATTCTGTGTTGAAAACAATATCTGCAGGGAAAAATGTTATTTTAGAAACATTTTCCTTTTTTTTCCTGTCATATGTTTAAATAAACAGATATTGGTTTTCTTCTAGTATGCCCCCAAGCTAGCAAAGCCCAATATAGACTTCCTTTTGTGTATTCTTTCTAAAAATAAACACAAACCAACATTTTTGCCCTCCTGCAACTCCCTGTGGATAATGATTACCTGAATTACACAGGCAAGCAAAGATACAAATAAAGTTAAACTCTTCAACTACAGTAGGCAAATTAGGGTTAATTTAGCTGATGCTGAGAACCTGCAAACATGCATGAAGCCAAAAAGTTGTGGGAGTATTAGGAGTCTCACAAAATCAGGGCTTATTAGTGTCAAGTTGGGTTTTTAAGACTGGAAACACACCCAGTTGCAGGTTTCTTTGTAAAAGTTTGCCAAGGAACAGTTGCTGTGGAGATAACGTTTATAGAGCTAAACCCAGCTAAGATTCAGTACTGCTTCAGCATTTTTTCTTTTTTTTTCCGTGTCTGACTCATTGTTTGGCAAGACTTGATTACCCAAAGAAAAATAAAACGGCCTGGATCTGTTTAACCTTGGAAATTGTTAGCGGATCAGTTCCCAGGGGGAAAGAAAAATACATATTGAACAAGATGCAGGACATGCGTGGCATAGACATTTACAACCTCCACCTGAAGAATGAAGAAAAACAACCTAAAAAGAACTTTTGTCTTATGGAATGGAGTCTGTGTTTGGTGCCCTAGGGGAAGGGCAGCAAAACAATATGTAAAGTGGCCGTATCTGAGGAGAGAGAGTTGAAATAAGAGGAATAACCAGGTTGCTGCTTACCCTTCTTGGCTTTGGCTGTTTGGAGGTGTCTCATTTGCATCATGTTGGTGCTGATTCTTCAGGTAACACTCAACAAACACGCTCAGCAAATAGCCAACCAGGCACACTCCCCCTACCCCTAGGAAGAAGTAGCCTATGGGATTGATGTTAGATGAGATGGCCAGCATGGTGACCCCAATGAGAAGAGCGGCAGTGAAAAGAAGCAGCAGGGCTTGGCGGATGTTTTTCCAGTGTGTCTCTAACCACATGGTGGTACAGATGGTGAGAGCAGACCGTTGAGAGCAGATGAGCAGTTAAGGGGACAGACATCTGTGGAAGACAGAGCAGGATTTTTAGCGTGAAACGTGAGTGTACAGACACTTTATCAGTATCATGATCAAAATAAGAACATAGATACCCAAGTACATGCCATCATGAGAACAGGCAGCTATGCCCATATATAATGAGCCTGGGAAATCTATGCATAAATACATGCTGATGTAAATGTACTAGAATTTCCTCTGTGAATGCATTTTGAATAATAGAGATGCTTGGACACACAGTTGTAAGACATAAAATGCATAAATAGACCATCAGCACTTACGGCCAGGCTTATCTGAAAGGTTCTAGCTGCTTAATAGAAATCAGAGCAGTCTAGGAGGCATATTTGAGGTTACTACAAAAGTGAAACACGGAAAAACTTTAAGGGTTAATTCTAGGACATTTGTACATGGCATAATGAAGGTTCAGATAATAGTTCAGATCCCGGAAGAAACGTAGCCTTATTAATGAGGCTGTCTGGCCCAGTAAATGGAGCGTCTAACTTCAGTGTAGCATTATAGCAATAACATTACTTTAGGTTCTAGATACAGCTGGGATATGCCTGTTTTTGCAAAATGTAGTATGCGTTTGAATATTTGCCTATATCCTCAGTTCTTTTTCTGTTGATGTGCTTCTCTGCACCATTTTCAAACACGAGAGCCCCTCCTGTCCCCCGTCCCAAACCCCATCTCCGTGAAAGAGACAGCAGTTGTCACTGTGTGCAGTCAATATGGAATGAATACCAGGGATCCGTGGTATTCAAGAAATACCATAAATTAGGAGTCATCTCGCACATGTTACACTTACCTACATCTATCCCCCTGTTTTGATGAAGGCCCATTTGAAAGAAAAGAGCATGACACAATGGGCATATTTTTTATGAATGGGCATGTCCAAACAAATATACAGTTTTATACGGTTCCATGTTACATTGTGTACTTTTGCACACTAAATTTGTTCCCTTGTTACAGCAAAAAGAGATAAATTTATATATACAAATGCCAGAATGAGAAACACACTCTTTCTGAATAGGTTACCTTCTTGTTACCTTTTTTACTGGCAGCTTTCAGTGTGTACTTACCAGAAAGAAGTTTCGGTAGGTGGGAACGGTCATGTTTTAACTTCTCTCTTCATCACAAGGCAAAATGTGCAAGCTTTTTTGTCTCTGCTCCTTCCCCTTCTGACCTGAGGATGGGACACCAGTGAAAACTCTCCCTTCCTCCTTTCGAGTTTTCTTGTCGGGAGATAATGAAGATTTCTTTTGAAACTAAAAGCCGGTAGCTAGTGAATATCAGAAGGTACCAAACGATGGGAAGATCCCGTTTCCAAGTTTTATGTGGGAGACTAGAACTTCGTTTTTCCAGGCTGTGAATCCAAAGCAATTTCTAGACGATCACGTACCTTCTACTCTTTCGCAGCTCTTCTGGGTCTGTCCCACAAAAGCAGGAAACTCATTAGGAAAGAGGGCGGAGTGAGCAGTGGGGGAGTGCTTACCTGTGTGAGATCTGTTTGGTCTGCTTTACTTTAATGAGGGAAACTCTGCTCTGAAAATTATGTTCTGCCCCCCCCCTACGTAGCAGGGGAATCTTGATCTCTGCCTCACAAAGCAGGAAGGGCTGCTGGCCCAGCCCACATCACATGGCCTACACATAAATCTATTTATAAGTTATGTAAAATGTAAATCGACATGATTTTCTATCTTGATTGGGTGCTGTTTGGCAGATGTTGGTTTATGTCCTCTTTGATTTTACAAACAAAAGGAAAAAATGAGGCAATAGGTTATTTTTTCACAGAGGGCTGAATTAAAATCCCTTTTACTCCCTGATGTATCTGGGAATAAGGAGTACTGATATGCAACACAACAGGTACTGAATTACTTTGTGAAATAGAAGTTCATCTGAATATTTATTTTGTGTCTGAAAACTAGAATAGAATAGAATAGAATAGAATAGAATAGAATAGAATAGGCTATTTCATTTGGAAGGGACCTACGGTGATCATCTAGTCCAACTGCCTGACCTATTCAGGGCTGACCAAGTTAAATCATGTAATTAAGGGTATTGTCCAAATGCCTCTTAAATGCTGACAGACACGGGGCATCGATCGCCTCTCTAGGAAGCCTGTTGCAGTGTTTGACCACCCTTTCAGTAAAGAAGTGTCAAGGCACAGCTTTAAACCATTCCCACACATCCTGTCACTGGATCCCAGGGAGAAGAGATCAGCACCTATCTATGATAAGGAGGGTGACCTTATAGAAGGATGTAAAATCAGCTACATGGGAATTTCCCTTTGTGAACCTATGTTGACTGTGCCTGATGATTGTATTATTCTTCCAGTAGTACCCAGTATAATCTTCTCCATAATTTTTCCTGGTACTGAGGTTAGACTAACAGGTCTCTAGTTTTCCTGGGTCTTCCCTCATGCCCTTCCTGTAGATTGGAATAACATCAGCTAGCTTCCAGTCAGTAGGGACCTCCCTAAACTGCCAAGAGCTTTGGTAGATGATCGAGGGGGGTCCTGCTGTAACATCTGCTATGTCCTTCCGTATTCTGGGATGAATTCCCTCACACCCCATGGACTTGTGAATATTCAGCTGATATAGCTGCTCTTTTACAATTTTAGTGTTCACAAATGGAAACTCCCTGTTTGTACACTCGTGGTCCTTTGACTCAGGCGACCAGGCAGCCCAAGGTCTATCAGTATTATTACAGACTGAGGCAATAGTGTGCCACTGCTTTTTCTTCATCCCTATTATTGAGATGAACATCTTGAACAGATATCAATCCAATATTTTCTATAGACCTCTTGCTATTAACATACCTCAAAAAGCCCTTCTTGTTATCTGAAACAGCGCTGACCGGTTTCAGCTCTAACTGAGATTTGGCCTTTCATGTCATTTCCCTGCATATATGAACCACAGCTCTGTGACTTTCCTGCGAGGCCTGACCTCGCTTCCAGAGATCATACAGTTTCTTTTTCCTCAAGAAGTTCCCAGTTCAGCCAAGATGGTCTTCTTCCCCTCTTGCTTGACTTACAACACAGTGAAATTGCCTGCTGCTGTACTTCTGAAAGATGGTTCTTAAAGACTAACCAGCATTCATGGACTCATAAGTCCTCAAAAGCATGTTCCCAGGGCACTCTGGTAAATAGCTCCCTGAATAGCTTAAAGTTTGCTCTCCTGAGGTTCAGGGTAGCAGCTCTGCTCTCCTTCTTTCTTATTGCACTGAAAATTTTATACTCAACCATTTTAAACTCACTGTGGCCAAGACAGCCACCTCCCATCACATCCCTGACAAGTCCTCTAGTCACAAATAGCAAGTCTAAAAGGGTACCTTTCTTAGTTGGCCCACTGTCTACCTGTGACAAGAAGTTATCTCCTACAAACTTCAAGAATTTGCAAGACCTGCTTGTCTCAGCAGTATGATATTCCCAGTTGGTGTCTGGGAAGTTGAAATCTCCCATAAGGACAAGGGCTATTGATCCTGAAATTTCTCTTAATTGCCTATAGAATAACTCATCAATGCTTACATCACTTCAAGTTCTCAAACACCATAGGGAGAATTACCTCCAGGAGCTCAAGTTTGTCTGTAGTTGAAAGATGTCCTACTGCTAAATGTTTATAGATAGTATTCAGGTTTAAGACTGGGCCACCAAGAATGGCATGAGGTTTAACAAAGATAAATGTGAAGTCACACATGGACAGAATAATCCCAAGCAGCAGTACAGGCTGGGGTCTGACTGACTGTGATGCAGCTCTGCTGAAGTAGACCTGGTGGTCATGATGAACAGCAAGCTCAACAGGAGTCAGCAGTGTGCCCTTGAGGCAATGGAGGCAAACTGTGTCCTGGGCTGCATCAGTAAGAGTGTAGTCAACAGATCAAGGGCAGTAATTATTCTACTCTACTCAGCACTTATTAGGACACACCTGGAATATTGTGTGCAGTTTTGGTCCCCCCAGTTTAAGAGAGAAATTGAAAAATTGGATATGGTCTGGTGAATTGCCACCAAGATGATTTGAGGGTTGGAGGACTTTGACAGCTTGAGGAACTAGGTTTGTACAGCCTAGGGAAGAGAAGAGAGGGCTTGGGCAGGTGGTGTCTACTCACAGTTTTCCAATGTCTAGTAGGCAGTTATAGAGAGGAGGGAGGTGCTCTTGATGAGGGTACATGGTGATGGGACAAGAGGCAATAGGGAAGAGGGCAAGTGCCTCTGGATATAAGAAAAAATGTCGTCGATGTGAAAACAGCAAAATGTTGCAATTAGTTGCCCAGAGAAGTGGAGGAATCATCTTGGCTGGAAATATTCAAGACGCAGCTGAGTCTAAGACTCTGCTCTCAGTAGGAGGTTGGATCAGATGATCTCCCCTTCCTGCCTAGTCTTGTCAATGTTTCTACGCTTCAACTATTTTTCCCTTATAATTGCCTTTTTGGCTGTTGATGGATAAAGGACCTTTAGCTCTGATTGTTGTCCATTCTTCGCTTTCAAGAGAATTCCTTAGAAGATGGCAGACTTAAGATCCATGTAAAGGGCAGGAAGTCAGGTGTGTAGCATGTCATTTTGCAAGACTATCATTAAACGGGAAAACTGATTTGTTTCTTACAACTCTTTCCATTTGGGAGTTGCCTAGTGTTAAGAGCACCTTAACTGCTAAGGAAGATGTGACAAAACTGTTTTCACAGCCTCTCTGCACAGAGGGCATGACTGACTCATGGTGGAATCTGGATGCTTTGGTACGAACAGCAACTTCCTTCTAAGCAGTGTAGCTGGTGGTTGTTAGAATTGTTCCTTGGGGATAAAAGATTTATATCCTACTGGGTTGAGGAGGAAATTAAAATATACTACAGACCTTGGCTAAGTGTTCAGTTTACTGAGCTTTTGTAATAAAAGAGCATCACTGCTATAAGAATTACAGCAGTGAATTTTCAGAGAAAAGGGTTCTACTTTTTGAAGTAGCGAGTGAAAAGTGTGATTTGACAAGGCAGTTGGACGAACCTAATAGAGAATTGCTGTGGATATGTCAGTCCTTTCTCCTTACTGCCTCTTCTCCATCTCTCCCTGTCCTCCTCGCGGTGATCCTAGTACTCAGCTGATCTCTCGCTGAGCCGGCTCAGCTGTCTCAGCTAGCGAGAGAGTATTTACATTTTTCCAGAGTGAATTTAGTGGGCTGAATCTGGTCACCAAAGTATTGTCCAACCACTAGACCCTCGTTCAAGTGAAGCAATGGGAATTCATAGCTAGAGAGTTGGGGAGGAAGGAAGGGAGAGTGAGAATAACTTCAAGGGCTGCCATGGGTGCCGATTGATCGACGGCCCGAACCATTGGAGCAGAAGGAATTCTTCCTTCTTTGACTGAGCAAGCCCTGCGAAGGAATTCTTCCTTCTTTGACTGAGCAAGAGAGAAAGGTGTAGAATATGAGACCCGTCTTGTCCTCAGCAAATCCTATTAGTTATATCAGGGATTTCTAGCTCAGCCTGATGACTTGCGGCAACTCCTAGCTCTGGTACATACACTGACTATTGTCAAATCCTGCAAACAATCTGACTATTGTTGAATCCCCTTTGTAAGCACCCAGAGAAGATACTTACCCTTCTCTAAGCTATGTAGAGGGAGCCGAGGCACTTGGCTGCACATTCTCCTGTGGGCAGTAGGCGCATAAAAACTGCTTTGAGGCTACACCTTCTTGCTAAGTTAGGAGAACGTCAGAAAGGTGAAAAAAATCTTCATTATTTGATAGAAAACTACCTCTGTGATTGGAAAGACTGTATTTAATTTGTGGATAGCTAGAAAGGTTTTGTTGAAAATTTTTATAGTACTTTTGATTGGTGGATTGGTTTTAAAAATATTTATATAGACATAGGAAATATCAGGATGAAAAAGGCTAAAAATGGCAGATATCTCTGCTGCATTAGTTGTTGCTTGTATTACTTCAGTTTATTTCAGCTGAAGTTCAGAGTTCAGTCACTCCTGTATATTTTGCCCATGGAGTTGCACGGATGGCTGGGCTGAATCTTTAGGAGTGATACTTGGCCGTGCAGCTGGGAATGCATTAGTTCAACCTGTTTATGAACGTGATACTGCCCGCTTTGTGAATCTAAGGATACAAAGTAGGATGAACTTCTGTGAACTAGCCTTTGCAATATGATTTCTAGCAACACAGTGTTCCTCCGTGAGGCCTTTTGGCATTTCTGAAATTTTTGTCAGTCTGACATTTTGATTCTCTCCCTCGTCTGGTTCAGACTGTCATTGGTTACAGTGTGTGGGGGTCTATAGGGACTTGGGGGTGCTGGTGGACGAGAAGCTGGACATGAGCAGGCAGTGGGCCCTTGCAGCCCAGAAGGCCAATCACATCCTGGGCTGCATCAAAAGATGCATTGCTAACAGGTCCAGAGAGGTGATTCTGCCACTTTACTCTGCTCTGGGGAGACCTCGTGGGCAGGTCTGGAGCCCTCAATATAAGAAGGACATGGACCTGATGGAGCGGGTCCAGAGGAGGGCCACAAGGATGATCAGGGGGATG